CCAATGATGCACACACGATGCGCAGAAAGACGCGCAACAGTATCGTGTGGCCAGACAGCGCGCCGGAATGGAATTCTCTTTCGCACTTGAACAACAATAACACAAACCATTATGCCAAAATCTCCAACTACGGAAGCCTGTTAACTCAAAGGCGCAGTGCTTTCTTGCAATTGGGTCGGTTCATGTTCACACCGTAAACGAACCGTACCAGAGTTCGTTTGGAACCGTACCGAGACCACCTCTTCAGCTGGGTCTCGGTTCGGTTGTTTGGTCCGCACCCGAGTTCGATTGCTATATTCACACCTGCCCAAAAGGTCCGCACCAAGGGGGGAAACGAACTAGAGTTCGATTCAATCGAACCAAACAAGGCAGGTGTGAATACACCCTAAGAAACGTGCCTGATTAGTTTCTTGTTGTTATGATTCTATCTACACCAGCCTGATTTACTGGGCTTCTTTAACACAAGCTAGTTTTCTAGTTATTCAGATAGCCCACTGACTAGTTAATTTTGAAAATGTCCCTAGTATGTGGTTATGATTCATCTCAGTATTTTTTTACCTTAACTGCTGTGTATGCGTGTGTGTTAAATGACATTTAAAGGCTGGCAGATGGTGGGGGGATACTGTTTTTCCACTTGAGTGAAGCATCAGCGTGCTGCTAAGGTGATTTCCTCGATTTCAGCAGCGCCCGGCATTGAACCGGCAGGACTGTGTGTGATACTCCCTCCCGGCCTGGAGAAACACCCACACATGTCTGCATTATGTTTATGCTACACTCATCAGTTCTAGGGAGCTCATTTGGATTGAAACCTCCCACCCACCTCATGTGATTTGATTGTCAGGTGCTGTCGTTGAATGGCTCGCTGTGTTTTGAAGTTTCTGCTTGATGTATGTTATGACAGTTCTAGCCCAGAGTAATCATTAACTACTGATATTGTGTGCCAACAGAGCAACGAGAGCGACGATATTCCAGTTTTATTTTAATTGCACTTTATCGTCCCCACTGTCTCTCTCTCTCTACTCTTTTTTTCATTCTCTGATAAATTAGGGATGCAGTCATTAGTTAAATAGGATGCTGTCAGTATAACGGAACCATCCAAGTCAGCTCAAAATACAAGCCACTGAACAATGAGCTCAGTCAAGCCAATATTCTTGTATTGGCTTGACTGAAGTATTGAAGTGTTAGAGCTGGATTATATTTATGATAAATTAGCTGATTGTTGACCATATTCATTTTAGCAAAAAAAAAAAAAAAAAAAATTTAATAAGGTGCACTTTTGTAACATCATTTGAAAGTCATTTCTTTTTATTTGCAGTCACTATCTGAGAAATAGTTGCCATAACTCATTGCTATGGTTGCGTCTCGCTTTGGACTTGAGTCACTTGACTGACAGATTGGCATTCTGACACCGCGAGACATTTCTAACCTTAAATCCACTGTTGCAATTATTCTGCTTATTGTATACAAAATACGAGAAGTTTATAATATATCATTAGTCCCATATTCATAATTCTGACCACACAGTCTTTTTACAATGTCTACCACTGTATAAAATGACTGTTGTAATTGTTATATTGCAGTTACTAGTAATAGACACACCTTTTTTTTTAAACCCCTGAGAAACACTTGGCACACCCCTGTGTACGTTGGATTGATTTTAATAACTTAAAGGATTAGTTCACTTTAAAAAAAACTTTTGCTGATAATTTACTCACCCCCATGTCATCCAAGATGTCCATGTCTTTCTTTCTTCAGTCGAAAAGAAATTAAGGTTTTTGATGAAAACATTCCAGGATTTTTCTCCATATAATGCACTTTGCTGGGCAGCAAACGGTTCAAGGTCCAAAAGACAGTTTCAGTGCAAACTGCAAACTGTTCAAAGGGCTTTAAACGATTCCAGACGATGAATAAGGGTCTTATCAAGCGAAACGATCGGTCATTTCAAAAATAAATAACAAAGTTTAAGTTTAATAATGTCAAATGCTCGCCTTGCTCTGTTCTGTGATGCATGTTCGTGACTCTCCTGTTCGAACTCGTTCATCAAAATGAACAAATCTTTTTTCGAGTCATTTGGTTAATTTAACGAACGAATTGACTCGGAAAAAGATTCGTTCATTTTGATGAACGAGTTCGAACAGGAGAGTCACACAGAACAGACCAAGGCGAGGATTTGAGCTTATAAAACTTTTTTTTTTTTTTTTTTTTTTTTAATGAGCGATCGTTTCGCTTGATAAGACCCTTATTCATCGTCTGGAATCGTTTAAAGCCCTTTGAACAGTTTGCAGTTTGCACTGAAACTGTCTTTTGGACCTTAAACCGTTTGCTGCCCAGTCAAGTGCATTATATGGCGAAAAATCCTGGAATATTTTCATCAAAAACCTTAATTTCTTTTCGACTGAAGAAAGAAAGACATGGACATCTTGGATGACATGGGGGTGAGTAAATTATCAGCAAAAGTTTTTTTTAAAGTGAACTAATCCTTTAAATATTCTTGAAGTGTGGACCAAGCACTAGGAAAATACAAGTGTCGGATCGGGACTCTGTATTGGCAGATAGATACTCAATATTGGAATATTGAGTTTCTGACTCGGATTCGAGGTGCAAAAAAACTTGATCTGGACATGCCTAATTTGCATGTTAAATTATAGATTTTAGTATATTGTATTATACTATTAAAAAAGAGTATCAAATTTAATATCTGCCATTACATTAACATCATTATTGGCTATTTTGTATTGACCAGAATTTTAATATCCTGCATCATCATCCTTATTGAACATTGATTCATACAGTAAATATTCTTAAATAATGCACATTCTTAGTTCGTGTTACCACTGACTCTGCTTGACCTGTCATTCATAGAGAAAACTCAGAGGTCAAGTAACTTTCTAGAAAACTCTGAAACAGTTTTTTGCGACTAATGTTTATCTCTGTTTAAATTTTGTTGGGGTCAGTGTGTTAATGTGTCATTGCTGTCCTGTAGTGTCTGTTCTTGGTGTCACAGGTAATTGTCAGGGATCTTTTGCTGGGTTCACTAATGGGTTTCACTGCGTTTCTCATCAGTCGTGTGTTCTATTCCTGATGACGTTCATCAGAAGTCCTCAGGGGGAGGCTGATTAAATGAGTTTGTAATCTGTGCTGTCCGTAAGGTGCTGTAATGGCGTTTGTTCATTGTTCTCCAGTGGAGGAAGTGCGCTGGCGGCCTGTCAACTCCAGAACAAAGCTCCCCTCTTCTCCCTTGGCGAAACGCATGTGGTGTAGTGGTTTAAGATCTGAGCTGGAATAGCTTGTAGGTTCATAACCTGCTAGCATGTCTTAACCCCAGGTTGGACTGTGGACATAATCAGTCACATGTAAAATGATCATGTCATCATTCAGGTCATGATATTTGACCAATGTTGAGAAGTCATGTATGTATGCATGTGTGCTTATTAAAAAACGATTTATATTACATCATAGTTTGTTTGATATTAGTTGTTTTGGTTTTGTGATCAAGTCTTTGAAGCTGCATTCCTGTGTCTCTTGTCTCCTGTTGAACAGTGGATAGACTGTCTTGTGCCTCCTGTGAACAGACTGGCTCTGCCTCGGGCTAAGACACAGCTTGTCTGTCTCTCTCTACTTCTCAGAGATCATCATCATCATAAAGCCTCGTCTAAACCATGACAGACTGAGACTATACAGCTTGTGGCGGCATTCACATTCAGTTCATAAAGACAGGTCTTCAGTCTGAGACCTCACTGGGCTCCAGACTTCAGCAATGGTCACATTTGTGATAAATAATAAAGAAAATAAGTAAATAATAAATAAATAGTCTTAATAAAAAATTATTATATGTAATTATATAACTAAATTATAAGTGCATAATAAAAAATATGCATTTCAATTTCATTTTTTTTTTTAAAATGAATTATTTATACATTCTTACATAATTTTTTTCAACATTTTAAGTGATTGTGATCCCTCTATAACAAAAAAGTTATTTAGCTACTCAGTGTTTCATTTTAGGTGCTTCTTTTTCTCGCTCTCAGTCTGGCTGCATCCAAGGCTTTACCATAAATAGTCCTAGAATGTAAAGCTGTAGATGTCACTTACTCCTCCGTAGAGTTGTTTTTTTGCTCAGAACCCAGATGGACTGTTTGGATCCACCGTGTCTTTGCTGTCGTGTTGGTGGTGAGGAATGTGATGTAACAGTCTTGAGCGGGAACTTTCAGCTCATCCGATTCTTCATCCAAGCTGGCTGTATGAAGAAGGCGGATATTTTTCATCATGTCTGAAAATAACAGATAAAAGCAGTGAGATTTTGTGAAGCAGGCTGGGACCTACATTTACAACCAGTATATGTTTCTATGAGCGGCTCAGTGGGTAGCGCTGTAGCAGGAAGGTCCCCGGTTTGAGCCCCAGCTGAGCCAGGAGTCCTTTCTTTGTCAGTGTGGGTTTCCTCTGGGTGCTTTGGTTTCCCCCACAATCCAAAAAACATGCAGTATATGTGAATTGGAGATGCTAAATTGTCCATAGTTGTGAGTGCGTGTGTGTGTGTGTGTTTGGGAAGGGTTGGGGAAAGACCTGGTGACCTGAAAATCATCACCAAGAAATTTCATGGACTGTCTCTCGCGTATGCCAAGAGATGGCCTGTAAAATCACAGGCCATCTGGAGACGACTGAAATGGTTAATGAAGGAATATGTTTTTTATAGCAGGATACATAACTGCAGAGGAGTATTTCCCAAAACTTTGACTTGACTTTAAATATCCCTTATAAGAGAAGAGGGATTTTCATCTTGACTTGGTTGGAAATGAGTTCAAAGCAATGAAACAATCCTTGTTTGTTATGTGGATGTTTATTTAGCATTGATTTATATTCTGCACTCACCCTGCAAATGTTTAATATTCTTCAAACAAGTCCTTCCATATTCATGTTTCCTGTCTGGCACCAGCAGCCCAGTGACAGATCAAACTCCCTCTCACTGGACCTCTCTCTTTTCCTCTTTCTTCCTTGATCAGGACCAGTTCGAGAATCTCGACAAACACACGCAGTGGGGGATCGACTTCCTAGAGCGCTATGCAAAGTTCGTCAAGGAGCGTCTGGAGATCGAGCAGGTCTATGCAAAGCAGCTACGGTGAGCATCTAATAGGGGTTTTATTGTGCTAATAAAACATGAAATAAATGGGCTAATAAAAAGTGAATGCTTTAAGTGAGTGGTACTGAAGCACTGATTCAGATTCAATCTTTGTAGCCATGTTTCGAGAGGTGCACATAACTACACACTTATAGAATCATCTGGGTAAAATAAACAACTAGCTGACTAATTGGTCACAAGGAAGCCTTGTATAGTATGGTGATGAATTTGGTTGGCTAGTCAATTAATAGTGACCAATCCCAAGTTTACAGGTACTGCAACAATCTATTAACAATTTCTTACCCTTAATCTGTGATTATCATAAAAAACTGCTTGCTCATTAAAATGACGCACAAAGTTCAGTTTGTTATTTAAAATTCCACATTAAAACCAAAAAAATATTTGACTAATCATTGCATTCTGCCCGAATGTAATAACAGGATGGTCTTACCTGCCTGACAATGTATGTATTTCCCTATCACACGTCATCAGCACGTTCCATGAGGCTATGCAGGGTTGTGGACAGAAAGTCACAGAGCGCAGCAAACAAACAGCCGCCTTTTAAAGTTCCCCCTAAACCAAAACAACCAGCTTATGCTGCGTTCACTCCATAACTATCGTAATTAAGAGATGGCCACCCATGACTTTCTACTCGGAGATGTGCACGTCCTCAGACTCGGATTTATGCTTTTTTATTTCAACACTATCAACGCCGAAATAAATCTGCAGCAGTCAGGTGGTACAAGTCAGCGCTCTTTAAGTTGTTTACGTTCATTATTATTGTAATGTTATTTGCTTTAAGACATGAGGTAATGTAATGCCGTCTCTCTTGAGGCTTTGCAGACTATGCTCTGGCTGTGCAGCGTGTTCATGTGTTTTGGAGGAGGCATGGCTTTGGAGACGCTCTGAAGGGAGGGTGGGATCTCATGATTTCAAAGCTAGCTTGCTATTGCTAGCTGCTCTAAAATTGCTCACCTTACCTTTTAAGTAAATTAATGTTGTTACTAGTAAGAACAAAAACATCATTTACAGTTCATCAGCCTAACTGTACATTTTTAACCACGTTTTGCACATTATTATAGTGTTCAACTGGTGTGCAATCTCAGGTGTTTTTATAGTTGGAACAATCCGTTTTATAATAGGGCTTTAATTGTCCTAATGAGCACATCTGCCTTGACCCATGTTAATGATTTTTTTTTTTTTTTTTTTTTTTTTTTTCATCATTCCCTTATGTGGTAAAATTGCTTTTTGCCTTGGGATTCAGCGTGAGGGTGAGAGACACATCGGGTCAAAAATCCCCGCAGGCTACAAGTTGTAAGATTTGATATGAGATCAAACTGAGAATGAGAGACGCTGTGTTTTCGCCAAAGGGACACGCAGTGACTGCAGCTGGGGCCTTCTCTCCTCTCCTCTCCTCACCTCTCCTCTCCTCTCGCGGGATGTCTTGGTCCCTGTGGACGTTTTGCTGTTGCCTGGATACGGTTATAGAGTCGCTCCTCTTCCCCCTCTCAAATCTCATTGTAGGTTCTAGTGTAGTACCACATTCATTCTACCTGACAGGTCCCACAATGCTCTCTGAACCCCCCCTGAGACGCGGTCCGTCACACATGGCAACACCATGACGGTTTTCTCTCTCAAGGGTTTCCGTAGTGAGGGGTGAATGGAGCCAAAGAACATTACCCTTGTTTGATTTTTAATGTCATTTAAAAAAAATTATAATAATCTGTTTCTGCATTATAGATTTCTTTTTTTCTATTTAAAACTATTTTGAATGATTAATTAGTTGATTTATTTATTTGATTATTCTATTAAAAATAGCCAATTCAGATACTGTCCAGTTGTCTCTTTCAAATAATGTTCAAATTGAGTAAATAAAAAAAATAATCTTTTATTATTTTTTATTTTTATTAATTATAAATATTTATTATTTGTTTTGGGTATGTATGGATGTATGTGTGTGTGTGTGTGTATATATCAAAACAAATCATATATTTAGAATTAATATATTTTATAAGTATTTATATATTTATTACAAAATATAAATGCAATCATTCATCAAGGTCAAGGTTACTTTATTGTCCCTGAGGGGCAATTATTTGTATCATTGCATATCATTGCAATTAATTCAATTAATCTGTTAATCTAATAGCCAGATTAACAAAAACTTTTTTTTAATGCAAGATACCATTGTGTACATTTACCGTAATATACATTTATTCATACAATGAGCATGTTTATATGCACACCAATAACTACCAAAAATCTGTTTATTGAAATAACCCAATTTACCGGTTTACATGCAAATCAACAACCTGGAGGTGCAAGTAAACCATGTTTACAAGACTATTGAAAAACAGGTTATTCCCCGGTTGTGTCGTCAAAATGTAAGCATCATGTGTTTCACTGAGAGTATTCTATTTATTATGCAAGTTGTGATTTTAAATAAGCTAAAGCATTACAAAACCCCAGAGTATTTCAACATTTCAGTGGGAAACTTTCACAGACTCATTCCCCTCTCATATTTGAACTGTACTACCTGTCCTTTGGCTGCATGAGATGAGAACACATTTTATATATATTTCTCGGGTCAAGAAAAAGTCTGTTTGCGATATTTCTCCTCCCCGACCTCAAAACACTTACTGGATGTGCTTAAATCTGCTGTATAAGGATGCTTAAATGCAGCTTATTCTTAAGCCGTTCATGACCTTATGCCGTTAAAGGAAAACGGTTTAACGCGTTTACATGTCCACACTCATTATTGGCTTATTAAACATAATCGGTTTAAGAACATGTATGTAAATGCACTCATTGACAAACACCTCTACTATTTATTGTCTGTTAAAAAAGGGTTTTAACATTACACGTTGAAGTGCACATAACATACAGTATGTTTCTTCTCACATCTAAACAAGTAACTCTTTGTCGATTATCAGTTTGATGCTTGTGTTTTTGCTGCATCTGAAAGGATGCTGAGGCACTTTAGTTATGAGTGCACACAACCAATCATAACCAGACTAAAAGAGAAGGGAAGTGAGTTTTTGTTTGATCTGTTTCATGAAGTGGATTTGAGGAAGCTTTAATAAAGGAAGTGCCAAACATCATTAATTCAGCTCGATGGGGGTCTGTGTTGCCTTCCTCCCTGAGCACACTCAACGGACCCCCCACACCATCCCCCATTCCATGCCGGAGCACAGCAGTAGAGCTTCTCTCAAGAGCTCCCACAGAAGATTCGTCTGTGTTCCCTTGAGTTTATATTGCGTGGGACGGGGGGAAAAGGAAGACAGATTAGCATACCATCACTTGTTTTGGCTGTTTACCGTGGCCTACTTTAATTCTCTGATGCATAAAGTAAACACACTAGACAGACTCCTTGTTCTCTTCATGGTTGTGTGGATAACTTTAGTTTTGATGTTAAGGGATATTCTAATCCCCAATGTGTGCTTTTGTGTGATCTATTCAGAACATGAGCAGTTTTTCTCTGAGAGTTCTAAAAAGTTCTTTTTGTTGCCCAACAGGAGTCTGGTTAAGAAATATTGCCCCAAGCGCGCCAAAGAGGATGAGCCCAGGTGAGTTAAATTGCAAACATTTGCTTGCTCCAAAGATTTTTAAGTGGTTATTTTGACAGCTATTTATGTTTTTAATGGCAGCTAACAAAAACATATAATAGCCTGTTACACGTATCTTTAGAATGCTTGATTCTGATTGGTCAGTCCAGGCATTATCTTGGTCAAATATTCAAACTGTTTAATTGATCGTTGTCCAGAGAACAAGACTACTTATTTCCTACTTAGCTAGGCTAGTTTCATGTCTCTCATATCACTCTGCAGTCTCTTTCCTCGACATAGATAGTCAATATCTGTCTAAAACTAATACAAATATTTTTGTTAATTGAATAAAATAAAATATAAATAGTATATGAAAAAACTGGAAATAAATAAAAACTGAACTAAAACTGAAAGACAAAATAAATTAAACCTACATGGTAAAATAGAAAAAAAAACTTAATGATAACTAAACCATGCTAATTCAAATATTAATAAAAAAATATTTTAGTATTGAGTAATACTAAAATAAAATTCACAATCGATATTCTAATACACTCAAACTGTTAATTATTCATTACCGTTGGATCAGAATGAAATCCATTTGTTTCACTACAACTGTACTTTTTATACGTTCTTTCTTTTAGCTCATGGCATTATTTCATTGTACATTTTGGCTGTAGTTGCTCTCCTAACCAGCATGTTTCTACCCTGTTGGCTCTAGATTACGGTTGAAAGCAGAAACGGGGGAGTATACGATGGGTGTCAGCTCGAGTCCCTCCCATATCCCGTAATGAATTCCGTTAGATAGGCATAATTTCTCCCAGCATGTGTTTTTGTCCCAGGACATTCCTCATGTAGTGTACAGACAGCCCGCTGATTAGAACTCAACCCTGGAGGTGGGGGGGACATTTGCTTTGGACAAAAACATCTCCGTCCAGCCCTCGCAATACACACACATCCCTAAAGAGGAGAGACGAACGTTTGTAAAGGGGGATTTTTAATAAAGTGAGCTAGTCATGCCTTACAGGCTGGCCCTTTGTCAACATCAACATACAGATAGACTAGAGACTTCCGGCCCCCAGGGGCCATGGCGGCAACCTGAGGAGAAGCTGTGTGCGACTGCTGATAAACGCAATTCATTTTTAATGAGGGCATTGAATGTCCAAGAAATTGTCCCATATCAGAACGTAAACCTTTAGTTTAAATGCAAGAGGTTCAACAGTTCTAAAAATACATATTAAGGTCTTTTAAAGTGTTCTAATATATCTAAATGTGATGGCAGTGGGTTTTTACACTATCCAGCTACCCTGCTTTGGTCTTTAAAAAAAAAACAAAAAAACAACAACATCAAAAATATCATTTGACTTCTAATGTTTATATTCTTTTTGTCATTTTAACGAATCGAAATAAGCTTGCAAAATTTGATTTGTTTGATGGAACTGGATATTTTTTGCAAATATCAAATTGAAAGATCATTTCGTTTTTATTGCAGTGCTGTAAGAATCATGTCTTTCTAATTTTTTGTCTCTAAAACAAATAAGTAAAAGTCAATCATATTTTGATTTTGCCATGAAAATAGTAATTGATGCTGATATGGAAATAAAAATAAACGAACAAGAGTATATGTAGTAGTATTTTTTTCATTGTATATTGTCCTCCTGCAGGTTCACATCCTGTATTTCATTCTACTCCATACTGAACGAGCTGAATGACTACGCAGGTCAGCGAGAGGTCGTTGCCGAGGAGATGGGGCACAAAGTGTATGGGGAGCTGATGAGGTACTCACAGGACCTGAAGGCAGAGAGGAAACATGTGAGTGCCAAATACATACACCCGAGACACCTGCATGTTCTGCTGCTAAGTTGTATTTAAACATTTGTTTGTTGTGTCTCTGATCAACAGCATCTCCAGGAGGGACGGAAGACACAACAGTATCTAGACCAGTGCTGGAAACACATGGACAATGTAAGTAATGTACTGGTACTGGTTCAAAAAGAAGTCCGTAGTGCTGAGTACAGAACCTGGACTTATGCGCAGTCTGTATGATAGGCTTGTGTGTATGCCCATACATCCTTCTTATTTAGGCATTTTTGTTTAATTTAATGTTTAATGTTTATTTGACTGCTTGATACTACTACAGAGACATCAAAACTTGTTTATGTAATATATCTTTATTTTTTAATGAATTTGTTTTAATTTAATTAGTGACTGTTTACTTTTAATAAATAATTATAATAATTATTTGAAATAATTATAAAAAACAAAAAAAAACAATGCAGTGTTTACATAAATATTTAGAGATCATTTTTTACATTGGTTTATTATTCAATGTCATGTTATTTTTGTTGTACATTGGAAATCGGTAGCAAGAAGCATGAAATTGCACTTGTATGGTATCAACTACAGAAAGTTTGGAATAGCATCTGTTATCAGCTATTGTAGTATTTATACATATTTTCAATTAACTTTGATTTTCTTATTGCCTTTTTCTCAATTTAATTATATGCTTTTTTTGTCATTTTTGTTAGCTGTTTTTTAAATACAATTTTAAAGAAAGTAGAACTTTTCTATTTAGGTAGAATTCATTTTTGTTTTAGTACTAAATTATTTTAGTACTTAAACTTAATATTTTCTTTGTAGTTTTTCATCTAATATTTATATTATATTTTATTTCAGCTTTATTTCAATTAACGGAAGCTATTCTTAATGTGCTTTTCCATTTGACTGCTACTTTTCCATTGTTTTTCAATGTGAGCGCGCACTAGACGGACATCTTTAACCGTGCGCTTTTTTCAATCTACTGATTGAATTCAAGGTACTGTTATCAAACACAGGGAGTTTGGAATAGCATCAGCCCTATTTAAGATTGATTGTGTTTGTACTGCTAGTTGCACAGTTGTGTCTGTGTCTGAGTGCGAGTGACCGATTCACAACCTCTCCTCCAGCTGTGACCTGGGGTCCAGATTTATGCAGATCCAGATGACTGTGTGTGTTTATGTGCAAGTACAAAACAGAAGAAGTGACAAAGACTGTTGGCAGTGCACAAATGGAAACCTTCCTGCGCCACATTCATCTTCTCAAGCTCTTTCTTTCCATTCTCCCTCTCGCTCCAATTCATACCCTGCACTGCATTCCTGCATCCTGTACGTTTCCTGTCTGTCAGTGCGTCTCATAGAGTATTTGTGCAGCTTTTAGGTCGCTGCAGCTTAAGGCCAGCAACAGCTGAATCTGGCGTTGAGAATGACCATGTCGTAATAACATAGGTATTCCTCTTTCTTGCACTGTCACAAAATGAAACACAGATGCTCTGGAAGCTGTACACAAATTTCATTATCGCTCTCAATCTCAGTACTGTTTTGGATGTTTGTTTGTAAGATTATCTGTATTTATGTTGCTACTAGATCAAATCCTGACAGTTTTTATGCAGGAAGGATTGCTAATGCTCACATAGCAATGCAGGAAATGTTTCATACCTGTTTTAACAGCCCAACATCATGTGTGTCTCCTTTTCCGTATGGATTTCACAGAGTAAAAAGAAGTTTGAACGAGAATGCAAAGAGGCAGAAAAATCACAAATGATCTACGACAGGCTAGACAATGACATCAACGCCACAAAGTCAGAGGTGGAAAAGGTAGTTTCTGTGATCCTGATATACTCTACATACATTCTTAATGATTATTGACTGAACTTTGTCCGAACCATTTTGTTAAAACATTGTAAAATAGCTCTTGAATGCAGTTTCTGGCCTAAGACTGGAAGTCGTCCTGAGGCCTGAGCTGTATTCCTGAAGTATTAGTAATACAGATGACCATTCATTCTGTCTTAGGCAAAGTCCCAGCTGTATCTGAGACAACACATGGCGGAGGAGAGCAAGAACGAGTATGCAGCCCAGTTGCAGAACTTTAATGCTGAACAGTGGAAGCATTTCAACGTGGCCATCCCTCAAATATTCAAGGTGATGATGTCCCCGATCTTTAGTTTCTGATATTTTAATTGAAATGTTTTAGTGAGTTCTTGAAGTCTAAAGCTATAAAGATTATACTCGCAGAACAATAAGTAGTGCTAGTGTTTTCGTTTTATTTATATACTATTATAGCATTCTTTAATATTGTGAATTAGCTTTGACTTTCTTATTTTCAGTTTAATTTTATGGGCTTTTTATAATTTTTTTATTAGGTTTTTTAAAAAATAGAATTTTTCTATTTAGCTTGAACTTAGTTTTAGTATTTAAAACTTAAACTTATTTTATTCCAGTTAGTTGCAATTTCAAATTTTCTTTTATAGTTTTTAAGTTTTCATGTAACATTTATATTTTATTTCAGCTTTATTTCAATTAACTAAAACCATTCTTAACGCGCTTTACCATTCGAATGTGCTACTTTTCTATTGTTTTTCTATGTAAAGATTCACTAGACGGACATCTTTACCCGTGCCGTGTGCTTTTTTTCAATCTACTGACCTGCGTCTCGTGTTTTTAACAGCAAAAATGCTTTCTTTGTGAACTCCTCCCTTAATGGTTGTCTTTTTAGTTAACAAATAAAGCACTGTATTAGACTGTATTTGGTTTGTGACCATCCACAGAAAAGATCTAATAAATCAAAACGTCTCTTTGTAGTTTTGTTTATGTAGTTCTGTAACCTCTGTGTACATGTGCTTGTAGAATCTGCAGGACATGGATGAACGGCGGACGGTCAAGCTTGGGGAGACGTACCGGAGTTTTGCCGATGTGGAACGAAGAGTCATTCCCATTGTCTCAAAATGCCTGGAGGGCATGGTGACCGCTGCTAAAAATGTGGATGAGCGTAGGGTAAGTGCTGAAACACTCTTAAGACTTTTAAGAGCCATACAAAAAGGAATTGAGTACTGGTAAAACATCTATAAATTCTATTATGAAATATTAGCAATATATAAAAGTTTGGAATCAGTAAGATGCTTTTTTAAAAAGAAATTAATACTTTTTTCAGCAAAAGTTACCGTAAAGACATAAAAAAAAAAAGTATCATGGTTTTCCAAACATTAAGCAGTACAAGAATGTTTTCAACATTGTTAATAAGAAATGTTTATTGAGCCACAAATCAGCTTATTAGAATGATTTCTTAAGGATCATGTGACACTGAAGACTGGAGTAATGAAAATTCAGCTTTGCAAATGAAATAAATTACATTTTAAAAATAGTAAACAGTTATTTTGTATTGTTATAATATTTCATAATATTACTGATTTTACTGTATTTCAGATCAAATAAATGCAGCCTTGGTGAGAACAAGAGACTTCTTTCAAAAACAAACAAAAAATCTTACTGACTCTAAACTTCTGAACATCTAACGTGCTTTGATTACCAACCTTCATCCCTTGGTTCAAGTAACTTATTACGCTCCATTATGAACTCAAGGTTTACTCAAATGTAAATTACTTCTCCCTGATGTCATTTTGTACCTGTGATCTTGATGATAGCTCCAGTCCACTACACTGATAGAAAGAAGGGAGTATTGGAGACGGCGAGTAGGCGGGAGGAAGTGAGGGAGTGGATGATTGGGAGCATGGGAGGATGAGAGAATCATAAGTTGCTCATTTTCTTAGTGCTGTCGCCAGTGCTGATGCTTATGAAAAGGTTGCGTGTGGCACCGCAACTGCTGATTACATTTTTATCTGACCCATTTAGTCCCCCTCTCTTTCTTTCTTTTTCCTGTCCTGGACTCGTTCAATCTTATGCTCACCAAGGCTGCCTTTATGATCAGTGAAAGCAGGATTATGTGAATTTTTTTTATTACAATTTAAAGGCACACTATATAACTCTTTGGCTTTCAAGCAGTTAAACAAAACTGCATGCGTTTTGCGGTAGAACATTGTTTTGGTTGTGCTACGGCTCTGCGATGATATATTCATATTCAAATGAACATGACCCTTCACATTATATAATGCTTTACAATGAACTCTCTGAACTGTTAGAGAGCTACATATGGCAATTTATCTGTTCAGTAAAATACCTTACTCGCCTGTTGAGTAATAAAACACCATCTCTGTGTTACTTTTGATGTGATGTGACACGCACAGTGACGTATGTACGCAATTTCCCATGAAAATCATCCCGCTGGGCCTAAATTATAAACACTTTCAATTGGCTTACCATAGTGGATCAGGGTAAGAAAGATTGATGATATATTGACTCATTATTTAAATTTTGTTAACTTTGAACAAAATAAGTTTGCCTTTAAAAGCATTTTTAAAATAAATGTTATTCCTGTGATGGCAAGGCTGAATTTTCAGCGTCATTACTCCAGTCTTTGGTGTCACATGATCCTTCAAAAATCATTCTAATATGCTGATTTGGTCCTCAAGAAACATTTATTATTAATATAAATGTTTAACAGTTGTACCGTTTAATATTTTTTGTCGCATAGAACCGCATATATTTTGAAATAGAAATCTTTTGTAACAGTGTAAAAGTTGTCATTTTTGATACATTTTAGTACATCTTTGCTGAAAGGAAAAACTTACTGACCCAAACTTTGAACAAAATGTATATAGAACTTCCAAGAAAGGCTTTAACTTGGAGTCAAACCGTTCTTAGCTAAAAGTAATACCTTGGAGCTTTTTATATAAATAATATAAATAACTTTTGGTGTAGCCTAAGCCTTCTTATATACTGATACTTCCGGCCTCCCACTATCCATTTTTCAGCAAGTTTTCCATCGTAACTTTCATTTTCGAGAGAATCTCTATTATTCATGAACAACTATATGTGCAGCCTCAAGTGGGTGCGAATCAATTAAGTTAATGGTCCTACCGACTTTCTGACCAGATCTAGTTGCTCATGTTGAACATATAACAATCTGTACATATAACAACTATTTACAACTCCTAGCTAGGTTAGGATACCCCTCCAGATCTCTTAAATAATTTAGGATTGAAGACCAACTGATTTATGCACAACTCTTTCTTTATTCTTGGAACAATTCTGCGTTTACGTTTTGACAAATTACTGTAATTTTCGAGCTGTTCATATCCTCAGACTCAGAAATGACTAGTTTCTTTGGTAACACCCATAACACCATGCCACTCTTGTTTTTCCTATTTTTCCTTGCTTCCCTGACTCCAATGGTCGGTACTTGACCTGCCCAATGACGAACCATTCGGGTCTGATTATGACCTGATTCTGTTTACGGTTTTATTTATGGGCTTGCTTGCGTTGTTTTGGGATTTCCTAATGCCTTCTGCTCGAATTCTGAGGTCAAGAGAGCCTCATAGAGGCTGTTAAACGGGTGACATGAAGCCAGAGCTCTTTTGTAATGCTACCACACCCTGGTCAAACAGTCATCCCAGACCAGCTAACCATCTTTCCTTGCGCCTACTTTCACAGTTTACCAACACTATAGTACTCACTGGTTCTTCATATATATATATATATATATATATATATATATATATATATATATATTTTGTTACTTCATAGTCTTTTTTTTTTTTTTTTATATGCGATGTTGCGGGTTTTTTTCCTCTATAGAATATTACTGCTACAGGTATGGACTGGTAACCAGAAGGTTGCTGGTTCAGTCCCTGAAAAGAACAAACCATGAGCTTACACCATTATGCTCACGTTACTGTTTCTATGGTTAGCTAAGTAACTGAGTTGAGAATTGATGTTCAAGAGGGCAAATAAATAAAGATTTTAGTAGTAGTCGAGAAAAAGATATGTTATGTTGGTGACAGAGTTCAAGGAAATGTGTTTCTTTCTTTAAATGAAATGTACTTTGCCAATCAAAAGTTTGGGGCTTGTAAGATATTTATGTTTCTGAAAGACGTATCTTATGGTCCCCGAGGCTACATAGAGTCATCTTCATTTATATAGCGCTTTTAACAATGAATTGTTTCAAAGCAGCTTTACAGAGATAAACATATAATTTAAGGTAACAGATTGTTTTGGCGTTATAGCGGTTCTTGAATAAAGTTACTTCCAGCTAAAGTTAACTTTGATTGATTCACCTCCGTCGAAATGATCAGACTTTAAACGCGAACCTTTGATTAACGCAGACGGCGTTCACATGCTCATTCAGAATTCTATAGTTATGTGCTTTTTAAAATATGTGCGCAGGTTTGTAATTCATACAACCCAGCCTAAACAAACTACTTTCTTGCCTATAAATTTTGATACAGAATTTTGTTTTATTTTATCACTTCGGGGTACGCGAATTTAGATTCTAAATTGTATATATTTATTCTTGCTGTATTTTCAGCATCATTACTCCAGTCTTCATTATCACATGATCCTTCAGAATAATTTTTATATGCTGATTTGGTTCCCAAAAAACATTTATTATTATTATCAATGTTGAAAACGGTTCTACTGCTTGATATATATATTTGTGGAAACATTTTGTGATAATTTTTTCAGGATTCTTTAATGAATAGAAAGATCAAAAGAACACAATTTATTTAAATTAGAAATCTTTTGTTACTTTATAAATGTCTTTACTGTCACTTCTGATCAATTGAATGCATCCTTGCGGAATAAAAGTATTAATTTCTGTGTATTATACTTGCACTTGGCTCTAAATAAAGCATATCAAGCATGCTAAGCACATTGTTGTTGTCTCACAGGATTCTGGGATTGTAGTGGAGTCGTTCAAGTCGGGGTTTGAACCCCCGGTTGATTTCCCTTTTGAGGACTTCAGTCAGAACATCCAGCGAACAGGATCAGATAGCACCATTGGGACCCCCAAAACAGAGGGAGGCAAACCGGACCCCAAACACGCGATTAGCAGGACCAAAAACAAACTCTGGCTTTTTGGGAAGAAACCCAAGGTATTTTCATTATTCAGCAACTTCTGTTCTATTGTAAAGCTCATTTGCTAAGAATAGGTGATAAATTAAAAGCCCACATGACCGTCAGGCGCTCTGCTTTGGCTTGTGTGAACAGTAAAGGATTATATGGCTAGGTAAAACTTTAACTTCTGCTTTCAGACCTATGCTGTCAGTACCTACAAAAACTTCCTGACCTTGTTGTCTTTTTTAAGAACATGACTTCACATTTTGTCCTTCCCTTGAAAGCAGTTCTTGTTTTTAAAAACCCTTCATTGTAATGAAAGTTAGCACTTGCTTATAAAGCTACATTTAACAAGCTAGACTTCATTCATTCAGCCATCTAACTAGGGTTCATAGATATGCGTGTTCGTTTGTTTGTGTTTGGTCATTAGTTCACCTTAAATCTTTGTTGTCCCAGCTTCCCCCATCCAACCCTCCTCCTTCCCGCCCAAGTATTCCCTCTGGCCATATCCAGCCTCCTAAATTCACAAAAGAGCGAAAGGCTAACCATCTATCTGAAGTGAGAAATGCAAAATCTAAGATTCCATCCTTCCGAACTGTGAAAAGAGGGGTAAGAGTCGGCCTGGTGTGTGTGGGTTTGCTGTGATTATGACATTAGCGCTTGCCGCTTGCGCTTGGGCCGGTTTCTCTCACCCAAGGTTTAGCTAATTCCTGCACACGAGGAAACAGCGAAATACGATTGTTTTGAGTGAAGGAATAAGGCTTTATCTGGGTCCAAAGAGCTGTGCCCATCATTTGTTTAAAGTTTGATTTGTTGCGTAAAGCAGTAGCACACGGTGGTGGAAGTGTCGGGTGGGTGATTTTTTTTCTTTTTCTTTTCTTCTTTTTTTCTTCTTGCTTTATTTTTAAAAGCTCATGCAAGTTAGCATAATACTTAATACAGATCAGTAGCTCTTTTCTGTAAACCTGTTCACACTGACATTGATGTTACAAGTTGCTTTGTGTGAAACTAAGCCTTTTTTACATTGAGATGATTGCTGTTGCTCATTTCTCTTATTGAAAATTGATGACTTGTAAATAATGACTTGAACTCTGTAAATCGCTGTCATTGTGAACACGCCGTAAAACAGACACGAGAAGGGAAACACTGGGAATACATTTACAAATATTAGGGGGTTTTCATCTGAATATACACGAGTATAGTCTGGGAGATTTATGGTTTCGAAAACTCTCCTTTGAAGATCTTTTAAATCCTTAACAAAGCTTTTCGGATAAATACCAAACTGCTTTTGTTTACCAAAAATGTTTAACATCCAGCTGTAAATCTCTTTGTAGAAAGATGCCCATCAAAGTCATTTCAATTATCTCCAAAGAGTACAAGTCCCTCCTTTTGTAACAACGATGACCACTCACATCCAGTTTGATGAGGACGCAAGGAGATTTTTGCCAAGGTTTAACATTTGTGAACGTCTTTTTAACTATCCGGATACAACTATTCTGAAATCTCACAAGCGTCATCTTTGTTTCCTTAACATTTTCTTGGCCTGGTACATCATTGTGCAACAAACCAACTGAATGTTTGCAAATTTATCAAGTTACTATAGATCCATATTGGATTGCTGTCATAAATGATCTTTTGTGGTGGCAACTCTAACACTGCCGACTGCCATAATAATGGATTACCTTTTCCTAGTAGTTCACAATAACTGATTCGAAAACCAAATGCCACTATATTACCTGTTCTTCTTTTAGCTTCTACTTGATAACCTAGCTTGAATGGAAATGTTGAAAACAAAGATGAGGTTGTGGTTTCAGGCTGGTTCAGGTTTTTAACCAGACTTCCAAAATGTCTCTTTTGTGGTATTAACAATGTTAGACTAACATGAACTGCGCTGGAACTGCAGTAGGTCAGACCTCGATTTATCCTGATGGTGCCGTTCTGTGTGAACCTGACTAAAATCATCAGTCAAAATGCATTCGATTGACTGATGTTGATGAGCGATTTGTTGTCTTTGTTTCTTTTTGAAATGGCGTGACCTAACCTTAACCTCTCAGTGGTCTTTAAAGCTGGTAAGTGATGTGTGTTTTGGACTGCTGTAGTATAGATATGAAGTTTGAAAATAGACTTGAGTGTTTAGTTCTAGGATGCTTTGAAACCCCCTCCTTCCTCATGCTGTACAGCTTAAAGATGTCTTTCTTATAGTGTGGCTAAATGTTTATAAACTTTCAGATGAATTGCAAAATTGGAATGTATGCAAACTAACAGGCCCATTAAGCTCTAGGAAGGACATCTCTCTCTAGAGCGACTGTATACCTTGCGCACTGCAACTGTGTCTGGAATAACCTACATTTGTACAGGCGCCAACACTAGAGGATCTCAGCCATCTTCCCCCTGAACAGAGACGCAAAAAACTTCAACAGAGGATCGATGAGCTAAACAAAGAACTACAGAAAGAAATGGACCAAAGGTAGATTATAAAGCATGCTGCTCACTTTCTTTTTCCTAATTTCTTCACATGAGCAGAAAGACCAGAATTTTATTACATACTAAAAACCATCTAATGCTGGAAAATTGTTTTAATTTAGCATAATAATATTCATTTATTTTAATGCATTTGAATTTTATTTATTTATTTAATAGCTATTATTGATTTTTTTTTTTCTCTGTTGGTTTGTATCGATGCATGATAACAGCTTAAACTATTTAAAACCTATTCAATAGCTAGAGAATAATATCTCAAAAACATAATTGTCCTTGTCACAGAGATGCTCTTAACAAAATGAAAGACGTCTATGAGAAGAATCCTCAGATGGGAGATCCTGGAAGTCTCCAGCCCAAGATTTCAGAGACCATATGCAACATGGAGAAACTCCGCTCTGAGATCCATAAAAATGAGGTAACCTTCCCAGAGGAATGACTTATTGTTGCAGTCTTATAAGGAAGCACAGCCTCCGGGAATGTACATCTGGATAAATTTGAGATGAAACCGCTGAGCAGCTCTGTGTGCCACCGCCATCTAGTGGAGGAATGGACATAATGCGGATGCTGCATCACATGAAATGATTGAAAATGACTCTTTATTTGGACATGAATCACTCTTCACCTGTCTTTCTTCATCTCAGAGTTGGCTGGCAGAGGTTGAAGGGAAGCATGGGTCCCGTGGTGAGCGGCGGCCCAGTGCGGATGTGAACCACCACACGCCCCACGGCAGAGAGAGGTCTGGATTTCCTGATTACATTATCTGCATTCTCAATATAGACATACTATAATGTGTATATCCTGTATACAGTCATCCCTTTAAAGAGTGCCTGAACCGTTTGTAAACCCACTCGTGGAAGAGTTATTGAGCTGTTCTTTCTATTCTACATATATCATAATATCCCGACATGGAAAAATATATATTAAATTACAGTGTGGTAATGTCTATTTTCTGATAATCCATAGAACTACACCCTACTGTTCAAAAGTTTGAGGTCAGTAAAACATAAAAAAAAAAAAAAAAAGAATACTTTTATTCAGCAAAGACGCAATAAATGTAAAAGAGACAGTAAATATGTGTACAATGTTAAAACTAGCAAATAAATTCTGTTCCTTTAAACCAGAGTAATGTGACCCTGAAGACTTATGATGATGCTTAAAGGGTTAGTTCACCTCAAAATGAAAATTTCCTGATAATTTACTCACCCACATGCCATCCAAGATGTTCATGTCTTTATTTCTTCAGTGGAAAAGAAATTAAGTTTTTTGAGGAAAACATTTCAGGATTTTTCACACAATGGACTTCAATTGCAACCAACATGTTGAAGTCCAAATCAATGCAGTTTCAAACGGCTCTGCATGTTCCCAGCTGAGGAATAGGGGCTTATCTAGCGAAACGATCGGTCATTAAAAAAAAACAAAAAAAACATTTACACTTTTTAACCACAATTGTTCGTCTTGTGCTGGTCTGCGACGCGCCAGGCGTTACCTCATCACGTTGGAACGAATACATTTCTTTTCCACTGAAGAAAGAAAGACACGAACATCTTGGATGGCATTTGGGTTAGTAAATTATCAGGAAATTTTCATTTTGTGGTGAACTAATCCTTTAATCGACTTTATAATGCTGAAAATGTTGCTTCGCCATCACAGGAATAAATTCCACTTTAAAATATATTCAAACAGACAGTTATTTTAAATTGTAATAACATTTCACAATATTACTGTTTTACTGTATTTTTGATCAAATAAATGCAGCTTTAGTGAGCATTAAAGACTTTTTTGAAACCATATTATTTTCTTTTTATTTAAATCATGATGTACGTACACCAAAAGATATACAACTAGTATCAGTGCAACAGCAGCTTCCCATTATGTAACACTTAGTTGAAAACAAAAGATGCCAAACCATCATGTCATCAGTGCTTTGTGCATCCACACGTCACAGACCGCTGCCTCTGAACTTAAAGGCTACTTTGATGCATGGCTGTTGTTTTTCTCCTGTCTTTCAGCCCTGAAGGCAGTTACACAGATGATCACAGTCAGGAGCATCGGTCTCCACCACAGCCAGACCCTCACGAATTTGATGACGAGTTTGACGATGACGATCCTCTCCCTGCCATCGGCCACTGCAAAGCTCTCTACTCTTTTGATGGTACAAAAACAGCTTTCTTGAAATGTTCCTCGTTTAGGACGAGTTAAGCGCTGTTGACAACATTGTGGCATAATGTCGAGTATAAAGATCCATAAAAACAGTTTCAACAACCAATTCTGCCCACGGGAATTACTATGCAACAAAATGACAGATTTTTACTAAATAATTAACTTAAGCTAAATGTAAGACTAATTAAAAAAAATAAGTAAACAACTTGGATATCACCGCTTTGTCATGTCAAAATCAAACATGAAATGGCCTGAAAACATGATGACTGTGGGGGGATTTAGTGAGCAATCTATTTATGAAAACCAAGTATACATAATTAATGTAAAAGCACAAAATGGAGTTGTATTTGGTTAATTTTTAGACAATGTTATGTTTATTTAATCAAGGACATGGGACAACATTAAGTGTAACTGGGACATGAATTTACAGTTGATTTATTTCAATAAAACTTTGAGGACTTTGCCTGTTTTTTTCCTCAGGCTCTAACGAAGGCACGCTGGTTATGAACGAGAACGAGGTGCTGTACGTCATAGAGGAAGATAAAGGCGACGGATGGACACGGGTTCGGAAAAATAGCGGAGTGGAGGGCTACGTCCCCACGTCCTACGTGGAGATCACACTGGAGAAAAACAGCAAAGGTGCGGTCACCTACATATGACATCACCCACGGCAGTTATGACATCATACATGGGGGAGCGTGTGTCAGATTTACCGCGACTCATCATCAAGTGCAGCTCGGCTGACTGCCATATGCTTTTGTTCACTGTGTGAGCCCGAGGACAAACACACTCACACTGTCGAAAGTGACTGTATTTCCTCTACACTGCGACTGCTGCAGCGGATCAATCTGTAGACTTGGAGAGATTTTTATTGCTTTTTATTCCATTTTAATAAGTGTTTTTAATCAGTTTTATATCATTGGAGCAAAACTGAACAAAATGCATTGGCTCCTTTTCAAATGTCTGTTTGTCTGAGAGATGAGTTCCTCATTATATTCGTGAGAGAACTTGTCAAACTTTAATCAGCTCTTAATTGTTAAGATTTCTGTGTTTTTATACATGTTGAGTACACTCTACTCGGAGCATCTCTGCATTGTTACTACAGTCCAATCATTTGTTCTATTCAGTATGAGGATACATCTGACCTTTCAGTTCATGCAGTTTCCAGTTCTTCCACCTTTCTTCAAAGTGTTATGTCCTTGCAGCTAAATTTTCCCTCATCATAGCGCCAAAGCTGTTTCACTTCCACTCTCTCTGCGAGTGCTACTCTTCTCGTTAAACTTGTAGCGTCACAACCTCCTTTTTAATTTAGGATATAATACAAGAACAATGTGTAACTTCAGAGCAGCACTCAGTTTGGCTGGCTCACTAGTGCCCTGAATCTTTTTTTCTCTCGCTGGTCAATCTTTGTTGTCGGTGGACCTGTCAATGACTCTGTCCTCTCTTTTCTCTCTGTGGCTACAGGTTCCTGATTGGATGAGTGGGGTTCTGTGGTGTTTGGTGGACGGGACTCACTGCTGTGGGTCTGTTAGTGGGGCGGTGGGGCGATTTTAAGACCGAAATTGTGTTGGGGCAGGTTGCATGTGTGCATGCTGTTCGTCATGGCCATTAACATCATTCCATTGCAGCAGACATTCCAGGGATATTGGAGAACCTAAAGAGAGTCGTTGCCTGGCACTAACATATTCAGGGGAATGTTTCGCCTGTACCATCTTTTCATGTTCATCATAACATGCACCTGCATGATCCACAGCCTTTCATTCCTCATTCCGTGCTGACGAATTGATCCCTTAATAGGTTTAACCACTTATCTCAACTACTTACGTCTTGTTTGTGTGTCCGTTTCTCTTTTGACTACGTTTCTTCATTGATGCATTCCATGTTAACCATGATATGAATCTTTAAAGCATGACCAATCAGAGTAAAGGAAGCATGGTGCTACAGTAGCCATTCCAACAGTCCCCACACAACACCCACCCACTGGCCCCCTTTGCATAGTCTGCTGGATGGAAGGAGCCTGGTGCAGTTCTGCATTTGGCCAGCAGGGGGACCCAACACCATATAAAACAAGCGGAGGAAATGCCAGCGAGGACCCATGAACACCAACCCATCATCTCTGCCTTAATTACAGGCCTCTGTATGGAAACTAAAAGCATATAGGGGTATATCTGATCCTCTATGCCCAAAAAACTGCTTGTTCTTGGGCTGCCAGCTCTTTGTGGTGCTTTCGCCATTTCTAGCCCAGCTCCTGGTTTCACAAGTGCAAGAACATGCTCACTGTAACTAGCAAGGACCACACGTCTCCAGAATCCGATCTCAAGTGCTTGTATTTGTGAATGTGATTCTTGCATTTAAAACTGTGTATGCATACGGATGCATATATGCATATGTAGATACCTAGTTAGTTTTTATTATTAAACTGTATGTATTAACATCTTTATTTCAGAATGAATGTTTTTATTGTGACTTTTTTTCCAAGGGTTTTTTTTTTTTTTAACCAAACGAGTTACTTCCAGGCTTTGCTTGTAAGAACCGTGCCGTACTCATTTTGTAACCAGTTCTTCTTCTTGTCTGAACTCTGTTCTCAGTAGGACCCTGGTCTTAACCGATGCACTTTTTACCCTGTTGCATTTGAATTGGATTATTAGGGAGTGAATGATGTCAGATGTGAAGGCTTGATTTTGTGTGAATGTGTTGTACAGTAAGACAACGTTGACCACTATATACTGGGGTTTGTGTTGGAGCAAGAGCAACCGAGAAATAAATACTTATGTCTGTTTGTCTCGTTTATCCTGCCTGTCATTTATTGGAGTTCTTCACTCTTTTGTGTTTAGCCTGTATACTGTATTTTGTTTGCATTCCTACAGTGGATATTGTATTTCATCGCTTTTGCTGGGTATTTGTTTATCAGGAGCAAGGTTTCTATTCTGTAAATGCGGTATATGCAGTGCATCATGGATTGTGTACACACACACATACACACACACACTACCGTTCAAAAGTTTTAGGTCAGTAAGTTTTTTTTTTGTGTGTGTGTGTTTTAAACCAGACATTTTAGGGTCACCAAGGCTGCATTTATTCAAAAATACAGTTTAAGAAAAAAGTAAAATCGTGAGCTATTTCTACAATGTAAAATATTTTCAGCATCATTTCTCCAGTGTCTCATGATCCTTCAGAAATCATTCTATGCAGTTTTGATGCTCAAGAGAGATTTTTTTATTATTATTATTATTATCAGTGTTGAAAACTTAATATTTTTGTGGTAACTGATAAAAAGAAATTCCCGGGAATCTTTGAATATAAAGTTCAAAAGAACGGTGTTGATTTGAAATAGAAATCTTTAATTAAAAAAATATATATTATAAAGATCTTTATGGGGACTTTTGATCAATCATCCTTGCTTAAAAAAAATCTCACTGACCCCTATATATGAAAACATTTCTGTAACAATTCAAAACCATTTATTAGATATTTATTTAATATTTTTCAGAATATTTCATTTGTGGGTGACTATTTACAGGTCAATAGTACTTCATACAATATATTACACAAACTAGCCTTCACATGCGTTCACTAATGATTATGTACATTCTTTTCCATGTGGGATTTTTAAACTGATCAACACTGCTTTGACCGATGGGTTTCATGGCATTTCTAAAAGTGTACAAGCTTTACTATATCCTGTTCCTTCATAGTGCTGAAAATGTGTCTTGAAGGTGTAATCTATAATTCCAGTCCTCTCTTATCCATCACTTCATATGTCAAGTGATTGACGGTACATACACCTCATGAAGTGCGCTCTGCCTCCAACTTTATCTTCATTTCTTAGGGTGGATGATGTATTGGCCATTAGATATATTCCATGTACCGTTCCTTCTTTTCTTGAAGGTAAAACTGGTTCCTGCCCATTTCACCAGTCATAAGTGTGGAGCACAACACACCTCTGGAAGGTGCATATTGAAGAAGGTAGCTCTCCATAGACAAGTGCCATTTGTGCTCATGAATGGCTTCCAACTTGCAAGCTGCACGTGATCTTCTGAAGCTCATGTTATGTTAGAGAACATCCACTTTAGGTACAGAGTCAGACGACCTTTGACCTGCCTCCAGAGAGGTTCGGACAGTTTCTGCTTGCTCAGAGAGTCTAATATACTGTACAAAGTGCGTGCCTCATTTTTCAGAGTTCTGTGTGTTTGACTGGAGGCTCAAGTTTTCTGGACAGGGCCGTGAGGATGAGTTTGAATTTGTCGTATCGCTCTGTCTGGTCCACGGCCGCCCCCCTGCTGCCCCAGAGCAGACGCAACTGGAAATCAGTCCTCAAGATCTCCAACATGTCATCATTAGGTTGGAAGTCTGGAGAGGAAATGAAATATCATTATTAAAGTCGCCATGAAATCAAAATTGACAATTCTTTTTTCTTTTTTTTACAGAATGTAGTGTTTATTATAAATAATTTGTGCATTATAAATCTTTTTTTTTTATTTTTTTTTTTTATATCCCCTCATGATCTTTAATCAACAATGTTAACCTCCCTTTCCCCTGGAAACGATGTCTGTTCTCTTCATGACGCGTCTCACTAAATATCCTCCACAACTGGCATTCAGATCTGCTGCTATTTAGTTAGCAACGGCCAGCTTCATACGATCCAGTCAATACCCAAGGACGAAATCAAGTCTTGCACTATATATATATGTTCTTTCCAGAAGCCGTTTCTCTCAGATATAGGTGTGTTGGACTTTAGTCGTGGCCTAATGGTTAGAGAGTCAGACTGGTAACCTGAAGGTTGTGGGTTCGAGTCTCAATACCGGCAGGAAATTACCGAGGTTCCTAGCCTGGGAAAACCCAGACAACTTCCGGCAAATTTAGATTTGCTCTGAAAGTTAGTCTGGCAAAAAGCTCATTCAAGCCCATTTCCAATCCGCCGAAATCGCGGCACCAATCAGAAACGTTGGGGCGGGCTTTACACGATGACGACAGCGCTGGGATTTTGAAGCAGATTTTGTAGCCTACATTACAAAGATGGATGCCGCCGTCGAACATCACTCGGTCGAATCAGCTATCGCGTCTGTTTTAAGCGATTTGAACGTTTCCTTTTTGTTAAAAACCGAGCAAAGAACAAAACTCGGAGATGTTTCTGCCGCTCTGCATGCGTCATCTCCTTCATCGCTCTGATTGGTTTTAGGTCTATCCGCGACGTCCGTTGGTGACGCCCCTCTGGAAATGATTTGTTTATGACGCTTTGCCAGACCATAACTCAGTTATAACTGAGAATGGTCTGGTTTTAACCAGGCTACGAGGTTCCCTTGAGCAAGGCACAATCGCTCCCCGGGCGCCGCAGCAAACATGGCTGCCCACTGCTCCGAGTGTGTGTGTCTACGGTTTGCAGTGTGTTTTCAGTACTCACTGCTCCTAATGTCTATTCACTAACTTAGATGAGTTAAATGCAGAGGACACATTCCGAGTATGGGTTACCATACTTGGCCTTTAAAAAAACGTTAATAATACACTATTGTTTACTGTGAATTCATGTTGGTTCATACTTTAGCTAATGTTAATTTATACAATATGAAATGTTCAAAATGTATTAGTATACTGCATACAAAAATGAACCTAAATTAATAAATGCTTTGTATTGTTCATTAATGATACAAATTGTAAAGTTGCTTTTACATTTTTTGTTAATTTTCATTTATCAGTTTATTTTTAACATTTAGTACAACATAATATGTAATTGTTATATAAACAACCAGTCTGTATTTACACTGATTTAAGTCTCACAAACCTTAAGTACACATCACTGTAGAAGTCCTTGATTCATTTTGAAGTAATGATGACTTGTTCTGTAGGTGAATCATGTTAGTAACTGCTCTAAAAGATTACTTGGACTGATTGAAACTGATCATGAGTGTCTTTTTGAGTGCTATCCTAGCTAAGTAGGCCTTTTACCTTTTAACTTCCTGAGGGAACCCATGATTCAAATGCTAATTTTCTTTTGGATATTAACACAACGACCTGAACAGCTCAATGTGTTTTGCTCACCAATTCCCTCAAAGTAAAGCACCACGTGTTCCTCCTGAAATGACTTGTAATGTCCTTGTCTTACCCTGGAGGATCCGCTGTGCGTTGCAGGTGTAGGTGTCCGCATTGCGTGCAACAGCACGTGCTCCTTCCAGATGCCGGAACATGATTTCACAGCCTTGGTCGTTGTTCTCCCAGACGTCCATCTCTTCGAAGGTGACTGCAGGCCTCTCCATCAAGGTGAGCAGCGGCATTAGCAGCGGGACACTGGCATTGCTCAGTGGGATTTCAGCTGGAAAGACAAGAACAAGAATTTAGTTAAAGGTGACCGACTGTATAAAGGGCATTAAACGTGCTTCATTGTCAAAAACTCACCACTTCCTTCATAGAGTCCTTTGTAGAATGGTTTCAAAGATTTCTCATAAATAATGGCAGTCTGTGTATATTTTCTCCGCAAGCTAGTCCACGTCTGATCCAGTCTGGTGATCTGTTCACACAAGAAAGATCACACAGATTGAAGCTTGTTGACCGCACACAGAGAGGGAAGAAAGTCTCTAGCCGAAAGTGGCAGATAGAAGGAGGTGTTGGGTACCTGAGGCATGTCCAGTGCTTTCATTATGGAGGAAAAGGCATAAAGATCTCCCATCGAGTCTTTGAGCTCTAGAGCGACCAGAATGATCCTGTTTAGGGTGGCTGCTCGCTCCTCCAGACTTCCTGTGCACCCCAGGATATCCACAGCAACTCCGATTGCCATGGTGTTATGCCTTTTTAAGAAGAACCAGCCATGCATGTTAAATGTGTGGCCTATATATGCATGTAAGACGTTCAAAGAGTTAATATTTCTCTGAAAGAGTTGTACTCCTTATATATCATCAGAAATCTGCTTCATAGATCACGTGTTAACAGCATCCGTTTACCTTTCCAGGAGGTCCTGCCGCAGCTGTCTCCCATGAGGAAGGGTCACCAGCTCCAGCCCAGAGGTCACGCTCATTTGACCTTTCAGCTCGTCAGAAACATTCAGGATCCTGGCAACCTGCAGCATGAACACACAGCATTTGCATCAAAGGTAGTAACATCCAGAGTCGAAAGTATTGCAGAAGCTAATCTGTGATTGTGAAGGGTTTTTAAATTTGGGTTGTGGGTGGATGG